CTGAAAGGGGCGAGCATGTTTGGTGTGACGGGGATTCGAATCCGCAACTCGCAGATTACGAGTCGCGCGTCCAAACCATCTGGCCATGCTGGGCCTGGGATATAGAATATGTCAAGTGGGCGGGCCAGAACGTTCACGATTATGGACACATTTTTAAAACAAGAATGGGGATAGGATGATTGTAAAAATTGTAACGATGTGTAGGCTATTAACCTAGTAAGTCACCAAAACCACTCCAACAACCATTTGCTACAACAAAAAAGCCCACATAAATAACCTCAGAAAACGAGCCCAGAAAAACCGCAACTCTAAAAAAATTAAAGCTAATATTTTAAAAAAATAAGACAAAACAAGCCCAATTTCACTTATTAAAAGCAGACTTGGCAACATTATATTCATGTTTAGGGATAGATTTGATATCAGAAAACTACACAATACTGGGTATATGATGTTTGGGTTGAGTTCCGTATTTGCACATATTGTCTTTTTTATACTGATCGCATACGGATCAACCTTAACAGTTTCAGTTTATTCATGTTTGTTTCTGCATCACAGGGTGATTCAAGGGTATATAATACAAAGAAGAATATATTTTGAATATTATAATCTCATTTGTTGAGAGTCTCACAAAATGGCGGTTGTTTAATCTTGATGACGGCACAATCACGCGATCAGGATGCCCTCATTGCCAGGTAGTATTTATCATGAAGTACGTCTCTACTTCGGATAGCCGTCGCGCTACTTTTTCCTCAAGAGAAGTTAGTGTTTTTCCCTTACGTAAATAGTTGTTAGTTAGATAGACAGTTAAATTGCATTTATGGTTTACTTTTATATTTTAGTGAATTGTGTGTTATTTATGTCTTAAAATGCATATTTGAAAGGTTTAAATGATCCTTTAAAATAACTTAAACTTCACCTCGTTTCACTAAGGTCAGCTTACACCGCGAATCGCGCTACTGGGAGAAACATTTTATTTGAAGATTGCATAAGTTGGCCGATGATAACATAATATGCTGCTGGCTTCCTGGTTTGTTTATTTGTTTGAAGTTAAATACAAAGCTACACAATGGGCTATCTGTATTCTGCCCACCACGGGTATTGAAACCCGGTTTCTAGCGTTGTTAGTCCTCAGACGTACCGCTGTGCCACTGGGGGGGGGGACACTTACGCAGAAATTTACTTGCTAATATAACTACAATTAATGTAAAAATAAATTGACTTTATAAATTTACGTTACAGAACAGTAAGGGAAAGAACATCAAAAATAAATTATACGTGAAAAAGTAAAGAGTTGAAATTACAAGTACAACCGAAAGAAGATATTTAAATATTATTCCACGGATAATTAAAAGGTATGTGTATATTTATATTTTTATGTGTATAATTTTAGAAATTTCATTGAATTGTACATTAATGACAATAAATTGAATATCTACAGTTAGTGATATGGTTGAGAAAATGAAAAATAAATTATAAACATTTACCTTAAAAAGCTTTTGGTACTTATTGAAGAGAATCCAGAGGTGATGCAAATGAAATTTGGAAAGTTTAAGATGAAAACATTATTTTTAATTTTTTAATATGAAAATCACCGGACTATTCAGTGCTGGGGCTGGTGACGAAAGTAGATAAAAAACTAATCTTTTATCAGAAATAATTAAATGAATACTCGTATATTTTTGTCCAAAATATTTGTAATTTTTTAAGAAAATCGTAAGAATTTTCGTGAACATATATATTAAGAGCACACAGAGTTATAACTTTATTACAAGTAACAGCTTCTACACTTAAAATGATAACGGATTTCCTATGGCAAGTCCGTGTAACTGAAAGAAGTACGCGCCTTTGCATTAAAAGCAAATAACTGTAGCTTGTTGTAACAGTTGGATTATGTGTTCCTGTTTTATGTTGATTCTCTTTCTGGGGTCTTATGAGATAATTTCTGCAGTAAGTTGTATTGCTCCATTACAGGGGATTTTATGGATTTTTGGTAAACCGTATATTTGTTGGTGTTTTTGGTTGGCTTGTATACATAAAAAATGAATAAAGTTTAAAGTAATTGTTTTTGTTTCAATATTATTTTGAGCTGTTTGTCCAATCTTTTGTTGTATGTTGGAGTAAGGTCAGTATTCGACTGAATAAACTTAGACGTATCATTCAATATATTTACCATTGTTTGGTTGTTAAAATCACGATCGAGTTTCCTTTATCGACTCTTTTTAATGACAATATCTTCATTGTTCCTTTTTTTTCTGCTGATGTCAAATTTTGTTTCAGAGGCTTCTTTTTCTTTTGTATTTCTTATGCATTTTTTTTTGTTAACGAGTTATTTTTATGCAGTTGTTACCTATTACAATTTCGAATGGTCTGAAACCGAGCTAAATGATAATTTAAATTTAGAAGTTAAATATATATACCAATATATCTCCAATTTATGATATTTGCCAACAAGATTGATACACACACACAGTTTTTTAATACAAATATGTTTTAATATACAAACAACAATACAATTTACAATAACAGTTATTACAAACAATGATTTATATATATAAAAGTTTCATGAACTTACAACCAATATAAAGTCTTCTTTCTAGTCTGGAACTTCCTTGATATCTATTCGAGGGTTGACGATGAGCGAATTAATTTTGAGTTGACGTAGGTATAAATCACTTAACGGGGAGCTAGCTAGCCTCGTAGTTTTCTCTGATCACACGCCGATTACAGGTCGAGTTTCCACCGATGACGTTAGATAATGTTTTTGTAAATGTCTAATGTCCAATGTGAATTCACTGAAGTTAAATGGTTTGTAATGTTCGAAATTTATAAGCGTTCCTGATGAAATATCTGAAGATTCTCGATTCATAAGTGTTATAACAATCAAAGTATAGCTTACGAAGTTTATAGCACACAACTATGGCAACCTAATATTAGATACTGTTTTTTGGCACGTCGCGTTGGTTATATTTATAGGCGTGTGTAGAGTTTCTCGAAAATTCAGATTACGTAACAATAGAAAGCTACATTAGCGTTTACGTACACACATATATTGTGGATTCTCACACTCGAGAATCTTCTACAACTAGAGAATAGGCGGGAATTTCGTAATACATATTTAACAGTATAATTTATGTACATTTCTAAATATAAATGAAATTTAAACAAATGTCAATGTTAAAATAAATATAGAATAATAAATCCGTCACACAGTGTATTGCAGTGTTAAAATATTCTGTAAGATATACATACCAATTTACTAAACGTATCTCCACAGAATTTGGCAAGCGTTTAGTAAACATTACAAATCTGTTGGACACAAAAAATCAGGTTCTTGAATAATGTATTTTTACTAAATATTTAATTGTGCATTTATGGAGTCGGTCTGCCTCAGAATCTTACTATTTTAAGTGTAAGGTTAATTTTTTTGCTAAAAATAAAAATACCTCTTTTCATCTTACAGTTTTATAATTAATCTGCATAATTTCTGAAACTTTCTAAATAACTATCGAACGTTTTTTGAGATAAAAGTTTACATTTTATCTAAACTATTCTGTACCTAAATTAACTGTAACTTAATCATAAATGTACATTGCAATGACATTTGAAAATTATGAAATAAAATAAACATACCTTTTTTTCATATTATACTAGTAAGAGGCCTGATCAAGTGGTTAAGGCGTTCGACTTGCAATATGAGAATCGTGGGTTCGAATATCTGTTACAAAATATTCTATTTTAGCATTGGGGCAGCATAATGTAACGGTCAATCCCAATATTTGTTGGCGGTGGGTGGTGTTGACTAGTTGCCCTCCCTCTAGTCTATTATTATTAAATTATGAACGGCTAAAGCAGATAACCCTAGTGTATCTATGCATGAAATTCAAACCAAAATTCCAGTAAATATGGAAGATTTTTTATATCTAATTTTCATGTTATGATTGATGTTTTAAATATATTTACAGTGGTTTGTTTGGTTATTGCTCTATCGTGTAGAATGAATTTCAGTTTCAAAACATAATTAAAGGGTTTTATCTTGCGATTAAATGTAATTCATTGTTAAAGGATTGTGATATTCATGTGGTGTGTACTTGCTCTTAGGAACAAAGGAAAGTTAACATTTTCGTTGAGCATTTTGTGAGATTAATGATTATTGGTTTTAAAGTTAAATTTAATTGTTGGATGGAGGTCAAGGAAGGAAAAATGCAATATCGACGTATATTATATGTTTTTTATCTACATTTAGTTATAGAGGAATATTTTTAAATGTTTATTTAATTTTATATAATTTTAGCATAAAACATGTGGTCCAGAAAAGTGTTGAAATTGTCTTGTTCTAGTTGCTCAGTAAAGGCTACACAATTGTGTGGGTGTATATATATATATATATATATTACCTTTTTGCGATATGCTTCATGAAATCTGCTAATGAATTACTCTTTTTTTAACTTTGTATCTATTGACCTATATGAAGTTATTTTGAAGTCTTGACAAAACAGAAAAGGATAGGGAGAACGTTAGTTTACATAAGTAATACAATTTTTTTTGCAAAAGATAAGTATGGTGTACCGTGGAAATACCAAAAAGTATAGAAATAATGTACACAAAATCGTACAAAAATAACTATATAAACAGCCAAATATTTCAAACAACAACTCTTTTCTACAACTTAATGTTGAATTCCTGTCAGTTGTATGAATTCAGGTTTGAATAAAAGCATTTAAAGTGAACAGTGCTATGCAGTCTTACAGATGCCAATAATCATAAGCTTGTAAGATTGATGCAGTACTTACTGGCTACTTATATAGGCATTTTTATATGGTTTTGTGTATTCATCGCTAACTTGTTTTTGTACTTTTTGGCATTTCCATCTGTACATCATACATAATTTTCGCAATTTTTTATTACTTGTTTTCCCTCTTTTTTATGCAATTTTATTGAAGTAGCTTCATAACTGAATATTTGTTTTATTTTTTATGGTAATATATCTTGTTAATATCACATCATTTTTGTTATTTTGGAATATTTACAGTACCCACTCCTTCTAACTTCACCCCAACTCACTGCATATCCATACAATCGACTCCACCACATACTGGGGTCATGGCAATTAATAAGGAGGGCATCATACAAATCTCAGGCAATGAAGTATGATAGCACGCATACACACACAAAACTATCAGGCTTGGCCCCACTGAAAATTTAAAGAAAAGTGGACTGCTATATAATGTATTGTTTTGAGAATTAAGAAACAAGTGTTTTAAACTCAGATATCAATAACATGTACACAGATCTGTCAATTGCTTAAGTACTTGATACCTTGAATATTAAATTTATCCTTTCTTTCTTTCTTTTTTAATTTTACTGAAATGGTTTTGACACATATCATGTTTGTGCAAGGAAAAGTCACAAACGGTCTTTATATAAGAACAATTTGTACTGCCATCTGGCGACTAGATATGAAACTGTTATTTATGAAACATGGAAATAATATATGCTTATTAATTGAAGTCACTGCTAAATAGTAGTTTTTCTTTTTATTATTTCCCCACAAAAATACGTGTGGTAGAAGAACAGAATAGTACTACAAGATGTGAAGCACTCGATAATGACAATTAGGTGCTCAAATAAGCTATAACTCAACTTTAGCAGTTTTTTTTGTAAGCATCATAGAGTAATAGATTGAATGTAGCAGCTCTTTTTTTTCTCAGCCAATCTCCATATACTAAGCACTATTGTGCTTGGTGATATTTCAACGAAAGTACCAAGGGTTGACAATTCTGCGAAGCTTTGATACCTACACAACAAGGTATATAAACAATCCATTGTAATAGAAACAAGATATCAAAACTTTGCCGTATTGTAGTATTACAAGTTACCATTGTTTTTTTTCTTCTCGCAGTTCCTGGTTGTTACACCAGAATAAGGCCTTTTGTGAACCAAAGATTATATCTTATTATGAAATTGTTTAAAAGAGGATACGATTTAATTTTTACTTGAATATAGTCTGTGTTTATTAGAATTCAATTATAAATAAGAATCATTTTATAGAGAGGGATGCTCACAAGTTTTTATTATTTTTTAATTTATGATGTTTACTCATTTATGTTTTGTGCTTCTTAATGTATAGTGTTACAGACTTTGAAGAACAGACATATAAATATGTTTGGTAAAGATTTGGTATCTCAAATATCCTTTTGTGAAACATGTTATTTGTTCAAGGGCATCATTATATTGATGACTTACTATTATATTTTCTTTATTTTTTGTAAGTGTTGAAAATATTGAACAGCTGCTTGAGTGTGCACTAAAACCAAAACCCTTTGATTTGGTGTATGATGTGTCACACCTTAAG